CGGAGTGGCTGTCAAAAACTTAGATTAACTTTCAGATAAAACACATCGTGTAAAGAAGGATCGTTGGGGCCTCTTTGTAAGGTGCAATTCAACACATTTGAATTGGGAGGAGAAAAAGAGGTGCTGCAAGTGGCGCACGTGCGCGACATTCCGCACCGGGATCTAATTAATTCGACGTGTGAAGTGTTGCACTGTGTCTAATCAACTAACTAGGAGATATGCCGCCAGTTTGCGTGTCACTACAACCACATCACCAAAAATACGCCACCAATACGTTTTTTGGAAGAGCGGAAACAAATCATCCATGCTGTTTTTTGAGTGTTTTGTCAGCACATTTATCTTCGTTTTCAGTGGTTGAGGTGTTAGTCAACATAAGCAACACAATGTGTCCCCCCCCCAACTCCTGACCCATCAGCTGACAAGGTTTACGCGGCCAAGCCCGCCTCATTCCTGAAGCCACGTTCATGTTTGGCACATGAATTCTACCGGGTAGCACTCAACACTCAACCACTGGATCGCTACAAAATAAGTTCTATGCTGCGCGAAAGGGAACTACAGTGGCAATGGTCCAACTGCTTGCGGTGGAACGATATTGCTACAACTGTGGCTGGCGCTTGAGTTACGATGCTCAAATCAGGGCACATCGTTGTTGGGGAATCCCCAATAGGGGTCGTATTTGGCCGCCAGGAGAGGGGGTCGTATTTGGGCTGGGAAAAATTTATTTTGATAGTTGATTTTTCTCGCTTCACGGACGTTGTAAAGGGGGGGTCGTATTTACGTTTTGGCGTTGTAGGAGTGGTGGTTGACTTTTGGTGATTTTCCTGTTTCATGCGTACTATTGTTCCTCCCCCCCGTCCGCTCGACAGCAAATTTTGGGAAGAAGTAAGAAACTTTCGGGGAATTTTGGAAAAAAGTGCCAGGCCGTTGGGGAAAATCTGAGAATTGGTAGAAAGGGGGTCGTAATGTCTATTGTCTTTTTCCGTTTCACATGTGCTATTCACTCAAAGATGCCATGCAAAGATGCTCATGGTTGGCATTTCATCCTCACTACAACATTTCTCAGAATCATGATTTGCTTGCGAGTTAGACTTGTCGCTCGGGATAGACACCTTAGCTACCTCACTCCCCTAACTCAATCAGTACCACACCGCTGCCTCCTTCTGTATTGCAGCGACTATACGCTAGAAAGCGTTCATACTTTGTGCCAATGCTTAAGCCTCCGGCAGCGTCCGCCAGCAGCACAGACACTCAAGACACTAGATACCTATTCTTCCTTGGTCGCTCACAACGCTGACGAGAAGTATGGACGAACTTCTTCGCAGCATATAATCCACGGAGCTTGTTGTGACTCAACCTACTTTCTTCCTACCAAGTGCTTCCGTCATACACTTTTCACAATATTAGCATGCAATTTATTGCAAATAATTTTCTAATAAGGTATTATGAGTGGCCTGTAACATACATTCACTCGGTTTATACAAAATGAAAACAAACAACAGAAATATACCGGTAATAAGAAACACGGAACAAACCGATGGTAAACGATGGCACTATGCAACAGGACAAGGGGCCAACTCATGACACACTACGGGGGTTGCACATAGCGCTATACTGTCAGGTAATAAAACGCACGTGAAAGAGTGGCGATTCATACGCCATTTCAAACAGCCGCACTCATTCCGCAGTTGGCAGCGTTGTTGACATCGCCGCTGCCGAGATCGGGCGTCGGTGCTTCTTTTTCGCACTCAGCTTGACGTCTCATTCCAGGCTTCGCTTCATCATCTTGAGTATTTTCCGACTCGGCTGCCTGTCCAGAATCCGACGCATTGAGACTCTGTAACAAAGATCCGAACGTTAGGGTAAAGATATGCTGTAACCTCACCTTCAGGGATCTTGCCATGTGTGAGGTGTGTGAGGTGTGAGGTGGATAGGCTCGGATCTAAAGAACTTGTCACTTTCACCACCACAAAAGGCGGAAGTGAAGACACCACTCGCTATTCACAACAAGCGGTATGTGCGCCGATTCCGAGGCGCGTACGTAGGAACAGCCTGCCTTATCCGTGATCAAGGGTAACGAGACCAAACTTAATCGAAGAGGGCGAGCAACTGTTAGGTCTTGAGGCTAGACTTGCGCGCATCCCTGGTCGTCCGTTCTGTTGCGCATGACTTTGGCTATGGATTGGGTCCGGAACGACACCTGGCTATCACTACCTTCAGTCTCATTTCAGCGCCCTTTCGAATGACAAAAGTGACACACTTCTACAGCTGCAGAGCCGTTCAGCTCGCACATGCCAAGGATCAGGACATACGGAGGCGAGCGTAAGCTTATCTCCAAACGTGGTAACAAAATGTTCATACTTTGCGATAGCGTTTTGAGTCTTGAGCCTTTTGAGCGACAAGGAAAAGTATAATACGATACCCTGTCGAATCGCTACGGACCTGCCATACCATGGTGGTAAAGGTCAGAATGCTAGGCGTCCCGCTCAAACGGCTTCAATACTTAATTCCTTCTTTGCTGACGCAACAGTCTCGCACCTCTCGATGGCTGACAGTCCGCAACCGGCCATATGCGCGTATGGTCGCAGTTCTGCAACCATCGCCTGAACTGTTAAACTCGGCTAGTGCACCATAGCAACAGAATCGTATTTCTAGGTTCACTTTCGAAAGTAGAGGACAACGGAGGTTCCGTGACTGTTTTCTACAAGTGACTCATCATCACCTATTTCTGGGGTGAACGTCGGAAAGATCTCGAAAAGGTAAACGATCATATGTGAGTACCACAACAAAGTATGTGAAAGCAGGTTCAGAACTTGCTGCACAATGTGGAATGCTGTCTCTATCAGAATGCGTAGTCGTACCTCAATTTCAGGTCCTCCTTCACGTTTAGGCTCGTTCTTGCTCTGGCGTCTAAAACGACGATTGAAGTAGTTGCCACGGCGTCTTGGACCGCTTGGCTTCCCCGTTGTAGTGCCGGTAGCTTCAGCATTTGTTGTCACCTGTCCATCAGTGGCAGGTACTGTACCGTTTGCTTCGTCTGCTGGCGGTTGTCGGTTACGACGTCCACGGAAACGGCGACCCTGCCCTGTAATAGTGCATCAGTCTCCTAGGTTTATTAGTGATGTTAAAGGGTGACAGACACTGCGATTGTCATCCCTTCATTGCAAGAAGCGGTTCATGAATGACTGCTACTAAATAGGATAAAGCAAAAGCCAACTTACTTCTTCCTCTGAGCGGTTTCTTCCCTTGGCCGTCAGGTGATGCATTCACCTGGTTGGTGTTCGCAGAGGATTTCTTGTCAGCGTCATTATCACGGGTAACTTGGCGGCGGTTGGGACGGAAACGGTACAATAGTACTCTTTGATACCTGGAATGATTGACACATCAGCAAGCCAGCTGGAAATGGTAATTACTTTGAGATCAAACGGCTGCCAATCCATCATTCATCAGAACTAACGAATGGCACACTTACTTGGAACCTTTCACATTCGTACCATTTGGCCCTGTCACATTAGATGCCTCAGGACCCTTACGTCCTTCAACGATATCAAATTCAACTTCTTCTTCATCAGCCAACGTACGCAGGTAGAACTTCTCGGTTTGTGACTTCGAAATAGCACTCTACAAAGGGAACATACACTCAAGTGGCTGGCAATTAAGGATTCGTGTGACATTTAAAAAGTACAATTGACACCTACTTGATGCACAAAGATGTCCGGCTTGCCGTCGGCGCGCGAAATAAAACCGTAATGGCCAAGGACGGAATACCACTTCACATGACCTTTGAGACCGGTCTCTACCACCTAGGAAAAGCTGCATCAGTAAAAAAAAGAAAAGATAGGTGTCTGACTGCTATCACCGAACACTCGATTTCAAGGTATTTGTTAGCACTCAAACTTAACATTAACCCAATACATCCATTTTCCCGGCGAGTAGGCATGGCTGCGTACTGTCAAACATGGCAGTGGCTGCGCTTTTGGGGAGATATTTCCGATCTAAGGGAAATCTTTTCCGATCTTGTAGTAATGCCTTTATTCAGCACAAAATAGCTTTGGTGATCGTCTCAAATGGAAATATGTCACAGAAAACACAGTCTAATCATTAATACAGTGTCCACGTCTCATCCCTTGTTGGTAACCTTGCATAATGTCGAATGTTTGTAAGTACTTCTGTTAAAGAGGTTGTAATCCAACGTGTTCTTCTCTGGAAATGGCCCAAAGTTTCTTAGTTTGTAACCTACTTCACCAAATTAGATTTCAGTCTCGTCCCCCAATGTAGTACACTTAACATCACAGTCATTCCCGCCATAATATCACCTAAGTGTCCTTTGATGCGCGTAATCAAAACCCTACTTGTTCCTCAGATCTGCCTGCTGAGACCTGCTGTTGCACCTAACTGGGAAAAGACGTAATAGTATGACCACACCCTTGGAAAGCGTGAGACTGAGCAGCATAGTGCGAACGACTCTGATGTCAAGTGCACTACACTGGGGTCGAGACGGAAATCTCTTCTAGGGAGTTTAGAGTCATTTTGGATTTTCGCTAGAAAACCAATAATGCGCAACTGAGTGTTCGTCAATATCAAATGAATTCCTGCCGTTTGTATCAGAGTGCGAGCTACAGTAAGGACTACGTGCGCTACGACAATTTTGACTTATGCGACACGATGAGACTCAAGTGAGACTCATTCGCCCTTTCTACTCTTCTGACACACGGGTAAGATAGCCTCCGCACGGTGGGACCTTCGGTGAGTTGTTCGCAGTTATACCGGGTTGTTCGGGAAGCGTTCGCGACACGACGTCGGAAACGCTAGAGTGGGGAAGGCGCTTGGTCGGGTAGGTGACAAATTGAAAGCTTCGAGCCATTCTCAGGCCTCTGAAGAAGACAGAAACATTGATCCACCAAAAGGTATCTTCTAACTACCTAGTTTGGCAGAATTAAGCAGTCTACGCTGCGTCCCAGTAAGGTACGCTACCACTCGACGTGCTCCTAAAATTAATAAGGTTTTCATGACCATCTCAGCTGCTGTGGAGATTCCGCGCTGTGCAACCTACGGTTACACTGTGGCCTGAGGCCATCGGGCGGTCGGGGAATGTGCAACTGTAGCACGTCGACGCGCGTCATCGCGAAGTCTGAACGCTGCCTTATGCTCTTGACGTTTATTCTGAAACGAGGCTTTTACGGCCTGTTAGCTGATGTCTAACTGCAAGAGAAGATGCTGCACTGAGCAATCTTTAGTGGCACCGTAGTTTGAGTTCAACTTTCACCAGAGAAATCATTCTAGTTCACAAAGTCACAATACCACATTCCAATCCAGTCATCATCATATACTTTCTGTCAGTAGAGTACAAACATCCTTCAGTCAGCCTCGCATCTCT